AGCTACTAAGGTTGATCTGTTGCAAGCATATATCTAATTCTGTTTTGCATCTTGTTTCTTATTAACGTATATTTTGACCATATTTTATTTGTTTTTTACCGTAATTTTTTTGGTATTGAGTTTACATTCAATTATGACTTTACTGTATAACTATGACTTAATTATGACAGTACAATTCTGTTTATGTTCTTCAGTTTATTTGAATATTTAATTTTACAAAAATTTTGATATGTTCAATGATGTTAAATTTTATATATCACTTTCAATAGGATTAGTTATACACATGTTTGAATTCGTTTATAATTTGGTTTTTTAGTTGTGTACAGGTTTACCGAATACAAATCTGGTCAAATTTTTTGATCATTTTACACATCTCTTTAAAAGTAAAATTTTCTTCATTTCTAAATATATACTAAATAAATGAAGTTGAATATTTGTGGAATAGGTTGTGGTATATTTTAATCTTTTAGCTGCAACACTGCGCAAATGACTATATTAGATGGCTAATCTACAGAATGTGAACACAAATAATGTTGGAATAATTCGATAGACACTTTCATGATGAAGCATGATTCATTATCCATCAAAAGCAGTAATGGCTGCTTCTATTCAACCAATACAGCTCAAGTTATGCTCTCTCTGAACACCCAATCAATCATGCAGATTGGCGGTTGTCAAATAAAACCATCAAGGATTCAAACCAGATTTTCTCCTTAAGTCATTTTTACTCTTATGATAATTGCGAAGATTTTAGCTGCTTGCCAGATTGATCCCATCCAGCATTGTACTAGAGCTACTGAGCATAGGGACCAATATGCGAAACATCAATTTAATGCTAACATGCTGTAATATTTCCTGGCATCAACTCCAAAGCCGTTTGGACAGGATTGTCTCACATTCAATGTTTTGTTTTAGAGCGGGTTGAAAAGTTTGGTGGAAATTCGACCTGCTCATCTTCGACAGAAAAGAATGGTGTGCACTTCTGTCAGGCACAGCAAAAATCATGCTCATTTGGCGATTCTAATCATCATAATATCCACAGTTCAAACACATTGATTCCTTCTGTCTCTCTTCCTCTAAAAAAATTGAAGACAGTTATGTACGCGTCTGTCAGGTCGAAGCAAAAAACAGAGTTGATGATCCAACAAATTGGCTGCAGTCTTAATATTCGGTGGCTTTGCGCGAAATCTGATATGAAGATTCCACAGTCCAGCAAATAAGATGAGTTAGAACCTACAGTGCAAGCTGTGAAGTGGATGATGTCTATTTTTTGTCTGTAGAGTCGACATGCACAATTGTTCCAAGGACTGTGTTTGCAGGTTTAGATTTTTTTAAAGAAAATTTCATTATTATAAAGGCGCTGACTTGGAAAACAGCATTGCTCTCCTTTCGTACGAAAATTAAAAATAGCGGGAAAATTTTTGTTTTCGAGATGAAGGGTACTCGATATCCTCTTCATCTGTCGATTTAGTCACATCTATCTGAGATTTTCAAGGCGTTGAGACGACGGATGAAAGGGCGTTACATGCTTGGGCGCCGCTCCAGGATAACATAAAGGTCTACAGGATAAAGGTCCATAAAGGATACATGAAGGTCCATATTCCATTTACGTGTACAAGACATGATTGTTACCACTGTATGCATTTTGCATTTGAATGCTCGCCAAAGTACGTCCGAAATGTGGTCTTCGTTTTATAAATATGAATCTCAGTATGCCAGAATACACTAAGATATGCTATCATAGCATCAAGTTTCATGCTAATCTAAAGATGGAATCTTCTTGCATAAACCCATAAGTGTTGAATATGAAATTTTCTACTTGTTCAAAATAATTACTTGCACAATCATTCATTATCGTATGTGATGTAGAACATGCAGACATGAAGACCACTCTTTTTAAAGTTGGAAGAGATGGGGACCATGTAAAGGCATGGATGGTAGCCGCGAAAGGATGAAACCATAAAACTTATCGGAATGATGAATGTGCAATTTTTTGGTGACCACTAATAGTCAACAATAACATACAGTTGGTGCCTTGAGAAGATAAGCTTTGCCTGGAGACAAAATAAATAAATGGTTCACACAAAGGAATAATCTCCAATCCCTGAAGGAAATTTGAGCCTCGGAACAGCGGGTGTGAAGGTATTGTTGGATCAAAACGATAAAACGTTTGTCACATTTGCTAACCAAGAATGAGATATTGTTTCAACATTGCTTGGAACAAGTGAAGAAGTTTCAGGTGGTTTCAGCTGGGAGGGCTTAGTGATTTGCTAAAAGTGATATGAAAAAAATTCAAAGGAGATTGGTTCAAATATGTATATGTTTTGGAAACTTTTTTGTATCATTTGTTATCAAAATCTCTTCCAATATGTCTTGAGGTGAGATTTTTGTTGAAGACATGTCCTAATTTCAAACGTTCAATCCCGATAGAACTAAATGAGAGTTGAGATGTGATGAAAATTGCTCAATATTCCTAGTATAACAGGAGGACACAAAAGGCTTCAACTTTGGGAAATTACATGCAACTAATCCCAGGTCATTGCTCGAGTAATGAGACGAAGTAGTTAGAGATATGTTTTTTAACGTGTAATCTGGAGCTTAAAGTTTACTCTTTTGTGCAAAAGTCTAGTTGAGGTTGCTTTTACAAATTTTTTGAGTTTGTTTTACTCTGGAATCATAATTTTGTGCAGGTTTCTTGTATACAATTTTTCTAGAAAGATTTCGATCATTTCTCATTTTTTAAATCTGTAAAGTATTTTTAATAGTTTCACTTCTCTTTTGGATTAACTTTATTTTTTATTTTTTTTGGGCAGCTAGTGGATCATATTTGAGGTTCAACTCCTCAATTAGCTACAAAGATTATATGTTGTTTACACATAAATATCTCAAGTATAAAATTTGAGTTTAATAGTTTTCTTAGTCAACGTACTCGATGGCATGTACTAGTATGATTCATGATTCAGTAGAGGAACATATGATCAGCATCATTGTATACTTTCTCATTCATCCATTCTCATTGAACTCATTTTTCATAGAGTGAGATATCGGAGCAACGTCAATTTACCAAATGCAAATGTTGTATTGCATCGAAGTACATATACCACATAAGTTTAGGAATTCTATGTCAAGGGACTTCATAATAATAAGCATGTTTAAATTTAATATATTTGAAAATTGCATATGCAAAAGTTTTTGTATTAAAAAATGCAATCTATTTCAGAAGCTGAAAGATGTACTACCAGGTTAACATAATAATCATTTAATTATTCAATAAAATTATATATTAGAAAAGTTTACATTCAACTACTTTACAAGATTTTACAATCCAAGTGAACATATTCAAATCTTGTAAAAACACAATAGCAAATTTCATAGTTAAATTGGACATGCAATCTCCATGTAAATGCTCATCTCATAGTTCAAAAGAATATAAAATAAGAAAGTTAGTAGTACAAAAAATAATAAAAATTACATGACAATATATCTATAATTGTGAATAATTAATGGAAAAAATCAATATTTTTGATTAAAAGGTTGTTCAACTTATAAAAAACTTGAGAAATTAAATTCAAAGATTTAAGCAGCCTAATACACTACAGAGAAAATCATCAAAATTATTTGGTATAAATGTGAAATCTAGAAATATCTGTATGGTTGGCTGGACATCTCACATTCTAAACTTGTGGCTTTATGCACAATTGTTTATATTGTTTATCTGTAAAGATATATATTCATTTTTTCAAAAAAGTTTAACCAATGTTTGTATTTATAATAAGTATATCACTGACTGAAGACTAAATATTATTGATTGCTTTATAGCCAACTATAAAGTAAAAAATAAATTAGTTATAATGACTTTGTACTTTGACGCATATTTGCAGCGTTGATACTTACACCACCAGCGTAAACGCTGCTCCGATAAAACATTTATGATCTAGATTTCCCTGCTCTCATGGAAAACATGAGTAGTCCCTTGTACATCCTGTCAACTTGCCTGATCTCCTTCGTCTATGGTCACAGGGTAGGATGGTCTTGGGAGGTCACGGCTCCGTGCTGCTATCCTAAAAAAAAGATGCATATTTTCATTTAAAACTCTTGAAAAAACTGATTATTATGTGTCTTGACAAATCGCAATATTGTAGATATAAATTAATTTCATACGATTGTTTCTTTATTATTTCCAATATATAATTTCAATCTATTCTTATGCTGCTCCAAAACTTTTTGTTTTCACTCCGAATTTATATGATCATGATCTCTCCAAGTGTTTAATTGTTTCTAGATGAGATAAGCCGGCCTTTAAAAGCTTTTGCATCTCTTGTGCATGTCCGAAAAAAGCCTTGCTTGATTGTTGTTGAAGCAAAACACAGCTTCTAAATGTTTCCTATTTTTTTTTTTAAAAAAGACCGTATGAATGACTATGTTAAAAATTTATTTACTCAAGTAGAAATTGCTAATGTACGGTACTGGAGTTGGCTGTGTTTTTTGTTTTTTGGAATATGTTAGACAAAATTCACATATTATGTTCAATTCATGAGAACATGAAAATAAAAAATATTATTTGTAGAATATTGTTCATCATAAATATCACATCATTATTGTACATTTTCATCATTCAAATGGTTGATCAATGCGTAACGTGAAGTTTTTGTTATTTAAGATATAACAGTATACTTTTAAAACTTTATAAACATCCCATTTTTCATTTAAACATTTGAATGATTATAGAGCATTCTGTTCAAATAAAATCTTTTTCTTTTACATTTACTTGTAAGCTTTGAAAATATCAAACATTCAAATTGACTTAAAATATTTTCATCAAAAATGTGTTTTTGAAATGAACATTCTTATATATTTTAGTCATTTTCTTCCTTTCTAAAATTAAATTTTGCTCGAGAATTTATTGTCGATCCCTCAGAAGCACTAATCTGCAACATGTAGTGCATAGCAGACTTACACAGACAATTTTGAAATGAAATCAATCATATTTGTTATCAATGTCAGAGTATATCATGTTTGGTTTCATGTGTATGCTTCCCATTGCTACTAGTGGCAACTGGATCTCTGGTTTCTTAAGTCTACTTCCACGTTGTCTCCTGAATGCTAACAACTGTACTGTCTATTATCCAATCCTGAAGTAGTTATTGCATCGTAAAGGGGAACGTTTAGTTTCCATGACTGAGCTTATACCTGTCTGTTTCTACTTGCTTATCTTGTCGCCCACTTCCTGATAACTTGCGTTCCAGTTTATTTGGCAAAAACCATGTGCATTGAAACTACGATAGACCAGCTCAGTCCTGAGTAACCACTAAATGTTCGGCAAAGTCTGTTTCTTCAGAGTGTGTTGTCCTTCCTGAGCATGTCGGATTTGACGGATACGGTCCGTCGACTAGCACGAAGTCATTCACATTTCTCGCATTGTACCAGTCTCCTACGCTCTGCGCAATTGTCTGACCACACATGAGCAAAGTCATATTAGTGCTTTTCTACGATGGTTAGCTGATATGTAAGTAGCGACAGGGTAGGAAGGTGATTCTATACCTTTCCATTGATCAAGAAGGTTTGATGGCCGTTCCATCTAGCAGTGTCTGTTGCCATGCAATGAGCATAGCAGGATATCACGAATTCTCCACGCACAGCAGAATCTGCAGCTTCCAAAGCCCTGACCATTCTGATTCTGAATTCTGTGAAAAAAAGTGTATGGTTAGTACATGGCACAAGGATTTCTTCGGTCACAAGCATAGGGTGCAAATGAAACGGCAATGTACACATTTTTAATTTACCTTCAAGCACTCCAAGCTGCTTGGAGGAGCAACTTCCAAGGTCTTGTGTGCATCTCGTCCATGTGCCCGTAGGATCTGCCGACTTCGGAGCGACGAGGTTTCCAATCTGTTATCCGTCCACTCACAATGCTCAATTAGATCACGACCGACCCACCATAACCAGCAGGTTGTGAAGTCACCTGACGACTATACATGGACATGTGGAACTATTGTGTACTGAAGTTCATGAAGTTTCAATGACATTTTATTCCGGTGCTGTACCTGATAGATATCCAGGTCTGATTGAAGTATATATAATGGCGTGTTGACGTATGGTAAAGCGTTTTGAGCAAAAAAGCAGTCCCATGCCTGGCATCAGGACACAAGCCGACGCCAGCTTAATCAGATATTGATGCACGCGGATACAAGTGTCATACTGAAATATTAGATGAGATTTCCAACACCCCAAGATGAGAAACTTCACTTACCGAAGATGCTGGTCTCGAGGATGTGCAACGTTTATCCAAGGCAGGCATTACGTTCTGCAGTCGATAAATGAAAGAGGGACAGATTTGGAGTGAGTGATGAGGAAAGGCAAATCTCAATGACTGTGTACCACAAGTAAGTTGCTTAATGGGAAGTCATAGCTGCACACGGCGAAGAGCATGGAGGAGAGCGTAGACGTACATGTGTGAGGGCAACGCCACGGAAAAGCTCGAGCGATGTGAGACCGCCGCTGACATCTGGACTGCGGTAGATAACAAGAGTGCAATCTTAGGGCCTATAGTCATGAGAAAATCTTGCAATCAGGGCAGACCCCAAGAGACTGCACTAAAATAATCTGCTACGGGACCATTCACACAAACCAAGGCCAACAGCGGGCCTGGAGGCTGGACAGACAATGCCTTGAGCTGAATTTGGCTCATGACATCGTCCCACGGTTGTAGAATGTGGTTAATACAAAGTGATGCAAAGCATGCTTCAGGAACGTAGGACCCGGAACTGGACCTGGAGATAGTGTGATTGCGGACATTGCAGTGAGTGGTTGACAACTTACGTGTCTAGAAAGAAGCCGGCATCTGCCATACACTTGACGACGGAATTTCCAGGGAAAAGAGCTTTGAAGGAATCGCAATGAAGAATCGCTGTTAGACCCCCGGCTGAGCATCCTATGAGTAGAGCCTGGATCAAACAGAACGCACCGGGTCACACACATGGTACTTTGTTGCATTTAGCCCAAACCTGCTGTCTTGCTCCCCTTCACACCGGTCCTATGAATAGTCTTTACAGTCCTACATTTAAAATAAAACTGCACAATCGTCCGAATATAAGCATGCTCATGAAGTAGATACTTCAGTCTCCACGTTCAGGCGAATGCCTTTCTCTCTTTTGCCAGCAACGTCAGTATGGCAAGCGATGTTCATCTTCAGATCTGTATGTTTGTCGAATACAAGAGGATTACGAAACCCAAGAGAAGAGGTGAGAGACAGTTGTGCCCCACCACTTCGCATATTTTCGAGCACGTCGGTCACAAATACCTTTTCAGCTTTAGCCATGCCGATGTCCATCAGGTCTTCCATTATCGCGTCCCAAACTCTCTGGCCTCTTAAGTAGATGGTTAAATTCTACAAAGTCCCAATGGCAAACTGCGTCAGCTCTGCACAGGATTCGTAGATTTTGCAGGAATGGGAACAGCTATATTATAAGAAGAAATGTGCACTGTCAGACTCCAAGGCGTTGAAAAAACAACATCAGACATGTTTAAGTTCAAGGCATTTACTGGGTCCGTTGAAACACAGACATGCAGACATCTTCTCTACTGAGTCTGTGTAGTCATGGTACCTTGGAGACTACAACAGGCTCGTCTCTATCACCAACAAACGAAGATCCATCGCAGTATCTTATCCATGCGATATTCCAGTTGTAGAAGTCTGCAATCGGGACAACGGGACTCTTCAGGAAAGGCGTTTTAAACTATGTAAAGGAAGCGAAATTAAGAAACTTTCTTCATCGTTGTAGATTACTTATGCTAAGCATCACTGCTAAGCAAGTTCTTAGCTTTTAGTGAGTGATGAGTTTTCTCAATACTTGAGTTTGTTTCTAAAGTAGAGGTAGTATTTCAGACGAAGAGCATGGAATCAAACTCGTCCAACATCAGACCTCGGAAACTTCGATTCCAGCACTAGACTTCAACAGTTTGTATCGATAAACTCACCGGGATTCACGCCAGCGTTGTGACTGAGGATGCCCGTGTTCGGTAGGATTTCTCTCGGCGGGGAATGGTTAGTCGACCCGAGGTACGTGTTGGCTCGGTTGGCACATTCATTGATACTTCTGCACCATCCACCTCCCTGTAAACAGAAAGGTTAAAACAAAGCTAGAACCTGGTTTATAGAGGTAAGAGGAAAACCAAGAGGTTTTTCTGTGTTCCTGGTGCGTTGACAGCAAAGATAATCTAATATCTATACCTCGACGTAAATCATCCAGTTTTGAACTCCGCCGCCGAATCCAGGAGAAAAATAGTACCCCGGTGCAGATCCATCTATGCAAACTGTCAATTCATAGAGAGAATTCACAAGTTATCAAAATATTAGATCAGAATGCCCGTGTTTGATCAGTCAAACAGCAGCTACAAATCAATCGCAACGAACGAAAGAAAGAGTAACTGAAGTGCAGCTTTACCTGCTCCTTTCTCCTTTGCATTGGTAAGTAAACGTAGCCCCGAGTACTGACTCTGGGCTACGTCGTCCACAAAAATTGCAGCCACAGCGATAACAAACAGCAACTGTACACTCCCATGACGAAAACTGTTCATTGCTACCCTAGTATCTGACGAGTATCTCCTTCAGCCACCCACGTACTTCAGCCACCAACGTACAAATGCTTCTGTGTTAGACCAGAATCCATTATATACACACAGATCGGGTAGCGGCGACTAGAGTATGTACAAAGAGTTTACAAAAATAGCCTACCGCTCCCTAGTCCCTGGCATGCGCCCCGGACGAGGGAGCGGTAGGCTATTTGCGGTATTCATCGGAAAACTAGCGGGCGACGGCCCCATTCCTGGGCTCGCAGCAGAAACTTCTGCTGGAATGTCCACGTCCACGTCGCCCCTCCCAGACGGATCTGCGCAGGCCGACGCCGAGATCGCAACGATGGAGGCCTTAGGAGAGCCTCGGCGCCACACGCGATATTTACCAGAAACAGCAGCAGCACCGATGGAGGCCTTCGGAGAGCATCGGCGCCACACGCGACATTCACCAGAAATAGCAGCAGCACCGTGAGACCCGAGCGCTGCAATCGGCCAATGGGCAGGGCGAGCTCCGTCTGCGCCATCGCTCGCTCGTCCTCGAAGCACGTTGAAGCTGTCGAAGCTGTCGACGCGGTCCTCGAGACCCCAAGCTATAGTCGAGGAACTGACCCCGGACACTGATTCTGTCCAACGGTGGCGGAAGGAAAGACAAGAAAATATTCTCCCTGAATCCCTGCCGGTCGGCCGGTCGGTCGATGGACGTTGCGCTCCTCGTTGACACGTGAGCGTTTGACGGTGTTCGCACGGTAAGCCTTCTCTTCTACATTCCTTCCTGTGCCGTACCGACAGGCAGATGTAATTTTTGGGGCCATCCATTTCTCCCTTGGAATTTTGCTCTCTCATGATTCTCTTTCTCGGTCTCCTCGTTGAATTGCGAGTGTTGGATGGTCTGAGGATACGTACTCATCATTGTCATGGGCTCGATCGTTAGGATTAACATCCCATCTCACGATTCCTGTTAGTTAAATGTCCGGATTTCGAGGTTGCAGAAAGATTAGAGAGTTTGTGTATCTTGGATTTCCAACTTGTAGATAGATATCACATAAGATATTTTCTCATCAGCTAGCAATGAGGTTCTTACTTGCTTGTTGTGATTAACCGTATTTTCATCTTACATGTAAGTATAAATTTTCTCTGGATGCAATACACGTTCACATGACTCTACGTTTTTCGGAATGCTTGAGATGATACCAGAGTGTGTATGTTTTACATGGAGTGGACATGGATATGGATATGCGTTGCAGTCTAACGTTAAACGTTAAAACAAGCATGGTTGGAAAATACCAACCATGGTTCTCAACATGTAGCCATGATTGGGATAATTTACACACAATTTACAACAATATTCTACAGTCATATACATATTGGCTGTATTGGTCCATTCTTATTTCACATGCCATCTCGTAAGTACGCGGATTTGGAGAGAGAAAATATCATTATACAATTTAGAAGTATACGGTTTTATGAATTCATATTTTGGGAATTTGAAAAACAAAGTAATACGCTATCATACTAAATCTTAGATAATTTGTTCCTCCAGTTTAGTATGTAGTGTATTCAAAATAAGCAGATCCATTGTTTTACACAGAGCATCAGCTAGTGCATCTTTATATTTTATCAATATCTCACAACATCTGAGATCATTCACTGATTAAGGTTAAGTGATCTAGAAACAAAATAAACATTTGTCCGTCATATAACATCATATCTATCCTTTGTATAATACTACTTAGTGTTAGCACATGAAGTGATATTTTAGATAATCCACTGAATAAAAAATGATGGAAAAAAATTGCATAATTGTTTTTCTCTTTCACAGAAAAGATTAAGTTTACAGGCTATGTTTTTTGGCTTGTGATGAAACATACAGATTTGCACTTGGTGATATATTCATTTGAATGAACAGAATGCTCATTATTAGGTGTGCAATAATTTAATACTAATTTTTTTAATTTTAGCAATTTCTTTAATTTACATGCAAAGATCATGAGACTTTATTAGTTTACGTTAAATTAATTTCATATATCCATCTACATCAGATTGGCTAAATTTTGATGCGAAAAAATTTTAGAATAATATTGAAAAGCATCTATAAAGTTAAAATTTTTAAAAGATTTTTTTGAAATCTCACTGTTCAGTAAATAATATATTTAAAATTTTTCATTCTCACTAAGCATTGATTTTCATGAAAGGTAATGGTTTCGCTGATCTCAATAAGAATACAATTGGTAAAGAATTTTCAACTTCGATGGTTTCCTTCAAAGTGTGAAATCTAGTGCTTCAGTAACAAAAATGTGTTGAAGTTTTACATCTTATGTTTCCGATTAGATACTAGTTGATACATATGTTATTAGCTTGTAAACCACATTTAACAAGGCTTAAATGATTTTTTTGAGTAAGCTTAACAATCAAGATGTTGAGGTGTAGCACATGTTTTTAGTAAATTATTAACTCATCAATATAACTTTGAATAAATCTATTTTATCAAAAAATGGATTTTGTGATCTTTAAACATTAGAAAAGTTCCAAATTTTTATGTTGTGCTACTGAATATTACATTAATGGAGGATGTAATGATATTGAATATATCATGTGATATCAATTATATATAATGTGATATCATTTTATACAGTATATTTGTCGATCCCTCTAAAGCACTAATCTGCAACATGTAGTGCATAGCAGACTTACACTGACGTGAAGTGGGGCGATACAATCCAGACCTTGTGCCGTGAACTTTGTAATTTGCAACTCTGAGATTTCTCGGATTGACCCAGCGCTGAGCCTAATTAGACACATGGCTCACAACATGGTCGAGAACGTCTAGACTGATCTGCCACTGTACAAGAGAAGACTTAGACACTGATCGTTGGACTTGAATGAAATAGCAGGTATTCATTGTGGTTGCCAAGATCGCGAACGCGATGGAATTTTGAGGGTTTATTTCAAAAGCTTCCTTGTATTGTGCGGTCGCGAGCATTCTCATGCAATTGATTCTTTAGTTTTGAAAATCCTAAAGCCTGGCTGGTATCCACAGCATTGAGCATGGTCAAGATTAAGGTCTGATGAGTAGAGACTGAGTCTGTCACGATTGACACTTGCTCGTTGTAATAATCGTCCTCCTTCAAATTTCAATAAAAATTCCGAAACGTTCAGTCTAGAGATCCATGAAGACCGAAATGTGCCCCGGTTATCTATCTGCATCGTGCACATGAACAGCGGAATCGATTTCTCTGCTCGTGCTTCAAAAGATATTTGGTAAGTTCTTGGCTCATGTCAGATACTTCTTTGAACCAAAATAGGGGAAAGAGGAATTCTCTATCTGTAAATACAAATGACTATGTGCCTTCTAATTTCGTTGAAAATAGTTGAAGGTTTTAGGTGGTCCTCGAGAATGAAAATGAAGCCTCAAATTCACGGGATTCGGCAGCGAGGAAAGATCTTCTTTCTCCCTTTGTTTTTTGACCAGAAGTCATGCCCGTATAACCGTTTTGACTCTAATTGGTTCTCGTTTTTTGAAAAAGTGTGAAAAATATAATTTTAATATAGAACTTTATTTATAACATTGAAACTTGCTATATTAAGGGCTTTGAAACTTACTGACAACAAAAAAATATCATTCCATCAAGATGATTTTATTTCAATTGAATATTATTTTTTTGACATAAAAATCAAAAATTAAATATTGAGAGGAATGATATTATTGATATTTATTTCTTCCCATAATATAAAACTGAAGTCATCATTTATTTTTTATCTTCTGTATATGTAGTAGGTAAAAATTTACGCCTAGTTTTGACTATTTGATAATCTCGTTCCTTCAAAACATAAAATCTATTGTTGTTCTTAAAAAACACAATGTTACGATACGGAAGCCAAACGGGGCTTCATCATATGCCCAAGGCACTCTAGTACGGGCCGAGATGCAGAACATTGTGATGACAACAGGTGATGCTAAAGCTTGGCACAAATACTGCGATACTTCCAAAAGAAAAAAACTAATGCCCTCTGTAATTGTGCAGTCATGAACAGAAAACGTAAGTAAAATCTGCAGAAGTAGTCAAATGAATATACTGGAAAAGCTGGAATAAATGATGGCGGGCTAGGTGTGCACGAAGTTATACAGTTCAATCGTCGGCTGTTATGGTCGAGCTACAGAAATGTGAATTAGATCCGAATGGAGTACACATTGCATTGAAACTAGTGCAGGATAGGAATGCTGGAATGGAAATTTATTATGAATAGATCACGGCATCAATGTACACAGAGTTTCATACTGCAATTGAGATTTAAGCTGAGGAGAAAATGGAAGTGGGTGTTTGGAAGTCACCAGTGGCAATATCAAACCGCAAGCTTCAACAGGTAAGCAGAACGCGTATAAGGTGTCCGTAAAATTTATGTGAACGTTCAGGTCTCTTAGCTTTTGAAGTAGATGTAAATACGGGAATATGAAAATAATTCTTTTATTCTTCTTTCATGAGGATCTTCCAAAAGTTCTTGTAAGAAAAATCCTTCACTTTATGTGGCAGATGTTCTAAATTTCAATACACCAGTCACATTCAGTGAAATTCTTAATGTTGATAGAAATATCACTTCATTGAATACAGAGTGAAATTTCATTTTTTCATAGCCGAGTGGTGGAATAGAGTATGATGCTGAAAATCGGCTGCCAAGCTGACCATGATTCATACTAGTTTATCCTAGTGTTGACCACGTCAAAATAGGAAAGCATTGTAACTCAATTTCCGTCAAGGAGAGTAACTCTGAAATGGATACGACAGCATCTGCCTTGCTTGCTTCGGCAATTCCATGCCTGAGGCTGGTCTCTTGGGAACAAAATATTGTATCAAAATTCCATCCTTATAATACAGATCTGAGTTCACCTTGAACCATGTATTATTCACCGCTGGACCAATTTATAACTAGGAATAAATCATCATCATTATAACATCATTGTACTACACAATTAACATTAAAACAATCTGAAGATTTATGTTCGTGATGCATTGTAAATGAATTCTCCAAAACACCCATAACAACAATTCCAAATCAATAATTATACAGGTGCAACGTTCCCAGAAAAAGTGTGCCCGTGTGTCTGATTCCCCTCTCCTTCCTAGGAGCGCATCAATTTGGATGACCAAAATAGTTCTACGGTACAATGTTCGCTAATTCCTTTGATTAGAAACCAATGTAATCTGCAAGTAAATGTTCATCTCATAGTTTACAAGAATATGTAAGACAGATATACTCGTACAAAAAATATTTTAATACTAACATTAAATATATGTACATAATTGTGAATAATTAATGGAATATATCCATATTTATGAAAAAAAAGGTTGCTCAACTTTCAAAAAACTTGAGAAGGGAATTTAATAGATTTAGGTAGCCGAATACACTAGACAAAAATATCAAGTAAATTGTGCTCTTTTTCAAGATCTTTTTAAATGATTTGTATTGAATACGCCATCATGATCTGAAGAGATGAGCAGGCTGCAAAAATATGCAATTTCATAACTCATCTAAATGTCTTTTTATCTCCTGTGAAAT